AGGGGAATTGAAAGATTTTTCTCAGCCACTTTTTTTTTTGCCCAAAGTCTTGCCAAAACTACAAAAGTCACAGAAGGAGGAAAAAACCAGCTAACCGAAACTGCAGCAAATCCCAGACAAGGAGCATGCCAAAATATACGTTGACCAGGATTTAGAAATTAACTACTCAAACTTACCCTCCTGTGCAAAGTCTTTGGTTTTTCACAAGTTTTGCAAGGAATGCTGTCATTTTTACAGACGAGTTTTGCCCAAACCAATAGCTAAAATGACTGGAGAGCTGAAAACTCCATAAAGTGAAAAACAGGAAACTCTTACACCACAGGAATCCTGAATGCTCAGTTTAAAAAGGATTCACTGATTGGAAAATGCTAAATATTGACTTGAGGGTTATAAAAATAATAAAAGTTCAGAAAAGAAGACGACACGAGATCAATTTTTTCAAACAAAGAGTGAAGCAATCCAGCTCAATGTGTGTTCTGCCCTTCATTGGGGGAAATCTGAAATCCTGTGACTATGCAAAAAGCTTGATATATCATGAGAGCTTCAAACTGAGGAACTCGATTAAATACTGAGTTTCAGATGGCCGCTGAAGCTTGAAAAACAGCAAAGCAGGCCATAAAAGCAAAAAAAAAAAGTCAAATTATTCTCTTCAAGTGCCAGAGAGGCTCTCCAGAAATAGGAACAGACCTCAAATGCCTGCCACAGCTCCAGTCATTGCTATGTTCTCTCTGGACATAGAATAGAATGGAGTAGAATCATAGGAAAGAATCACCAAGGTTGGAGAATATCTCCAAGATCATCCAGTCCAACTGTCCACCCATCACCAATGTTTCCCACTAAACCACGTCCCTCAGTACAACATCTACACGTTCCTTGAACACCTCCAGGGCTGGTGACTCCAACACCTCCCCAAGCAGCCCACCCCAGTGCCTGACCACTCTCTCAGATAAGAACTATTTCCTAACGTCCAACCTCTCCTGGCACAACTTGAGGCCATTCCCTCCAGTCCTATTGCTAGTTACCTGGAAGAAGAGGCCAACTGTTACCTGACCAGAACCTTCCTTCATGTAGTTGAGAGAGCCATGAGGTCACCCCTGAGCCACTTCAGACTACATTCCTGAAACTAAGAAAAAGGGCTGGTGTACAGGGATCCTTCGTGCTAGAAGATCCCCAAAGTCAGTAGGAAAGCTGAGGTGCACAGCCATGTTGAGCTCTACTGTTCACTGACAAGCCCACCCGAGCTCAGAGCTCAACATCCTGCGCAGCCTGGCTTCACATCAATTACTGCTCCTAGGAAAAAGAGGCAGAGACAGTCTGAAGCTCCTGTACTACATCCTGCTGTGTTCACTTCATGGGATCATACAGAAACATAGCTCATCACACTTTACCAGATTTACAACTGAGATTGACACCAAGGCACAACCACCTCCCTCAGAACAGAGCAGGCTGAACAGGCCCAGGTCAAATAAGAGACATCTCCAGCTCCAGCTTCCTTACTCTCACAGCTAGCTGAGGGACTGCTCTTGTCACCCAAGGCCCAGGTCCCAGCCCCGTCCTCAGCCCAAGCTACACATCAAGAGGGAGCAAGCTACCAACACGCTATCTGAGAATACTGATTTTCAGCTTGACTTTGCCATCGTAGAGGCCAATGTTCAATTTTCATCCTGTCCCTACTCTATCTCACAGCATTTGGAGAGCCCACGCTGCCCTTCTAGACATGGCAAAATCACATCTTTATTTTGCTTAGTCAATTCATTCTCTCTTATTCTGCTTTTCTACATGTGATGTATTCCTTACATGTAGGTTTAACTTCCATGATATGTGCTTTCCTTGACAGGCATAATGCTAAAGCCATTAAATCCACATTAAAAATCCTGTTACTGCCTGTAGTAACACAAGAAATTGTTCATCACATACCGTTTATGATTATGTTTTCATCCATCTAGGAAGAGTGGGATTTATGTAGAAATAATTGAAAAAATTAACTATCGGGAAAGCTTAGGTAGAATTTAATAAAATCCTTAATATACTTTCATACTTTAAATCTGTAAATAGCTCCTATTATTTCTCATCCTTTTGTATAATAGGATAGGACCTGTTACAACCAGACTCAGTGCCAGGCTTGCCAGTATCTTGAGAACATGAAAATCTCAGCTTCCATCTGATCCAGCGTGTCATGGAAGGAAATGCACTTCCAGGGGGGCATGAGAGCTGAGTCCAGCCAAACACGTGGGACTGGGATGCTGGGCATTTTGTTGCTGGCATCAGACTAAGTCAACCTGCCTCTTCTGGCTTGTGAGGTAACTGAATAAAAAAATAAATAAATAAAAAAAAGCTCTTCTCCCTTTGTTTTCAATATATTTTGAAAAAAGTACTTAGCTGGAGAAACTAACAGCCTTTTCCCCAGTATGTGAGATCTGATGGATCTAAAAAACTACATGGAAAGAACAAGTACGACTTCATGTAAGTGCCAGTCAGCACACGTCCTCACAAGCAGACCCTCCTAGCATTATCTGTCTGGTTTGGAGCAATTCAATACAAGGAAAAGCTGTGTAATGAGAAGATACAAAAATGGCAGAGAGAATGTACATCCTCCTGCTCATTGAAGATAAAGAGATGCAAATTGCCTGAGCTCTGTTACAGCAGTTACAGTAAATATAGCACAGAAGCCAGAGGAGCTTCTAATAATAACACCTCATTAATTAAAATACCCAAAAACATATGTACAGGAAAGGAAAGGAACATACTGTGAGGAAAAGTTCATATCAGAAGAGTAGAAAGAAGGTATTTATAGTTTAGAACCCTTTCATTTTTTCCTTTTACGATACTGTTTAACACCATAAATAAATTTGGTTATTTCTCCCTCATTAAGAAAAGGTAACAGAGAAATGAGAAAAAGAGTCAAGTGTTTTTAAAGACACGTAATTGATTAAAAAGGTGGCACAGTTTAGCAACAGTCACCTGAACTCCTTCAAAGAGTACAAAACCAAAAAGTGACAGCTTTGGTTGCATCTCACACATTTGCACATAGATTCCCAAATGCATCCATTTACCACTGCACTTCTACCCTTCTCCAGCCAAACAACATCCCCTCAGCTGGTAAGACCTTTACTTCTCCTATGCCACACTAACTAAAAGGAAAAATGCAAAATATCGTTATTTCTCAAAAGATTTAAGTCCCCGAATACCCAGCTTTCTTTTTCCATACCATTCTTAGCAAATCCTGACTTCCAGACCATTTTGCAAGACATTTTTAAGGCACATATCAGTTGCGGAGTGATCTGGCTCCACCAAGTGACAACTGCTGTTATTGCTTGTCTACACCTGGAGTGACGACGGCACAGATCTGACCCTGGACACTGCAATAAGGCTGTAACCAATGGTGGTATTTCGTTGAAGAGCTTTCACCACCATTAGTTGATGCCTTCCATGTTATTTTGCTGTTATTTAGGTTTTAAATGAAGGTGGTATGGGGCTGAGAACTATTTTATTTTTCTCCATTTATGTTGGACAATACCAAAAACTGTTCTACAGAAGTGACCAAGTTGTTCATTATTACAACAGTTAATACCTCTGGAACAAATCACAGTGGGGTAGAAGGGTTTCAGAGAAGCAAACTTTTTCAGAAAGTTCTGAGCCCTCCAGATGACAGGCAAGATCATCAGATCATCATACCTCTAGAAAGGTGACAGGAACACAAGGAGAGTGTAGAAACGACCACATTACGTGGTCATCATACAGAAGCCTTTGAAAACTCAACCAAAGTGGAGAAGCTTCCTAACATGCAGCCAGGAGTGCGGATAATCTCACATCTTTTTTGTATACAAGCATTTTTTGAGAGAAAAGGTGCTCTGAAAGAAAGGAGCGAGGAGGCTGAAGGCCGGGGACAAATTCTGTATAAGGCAGTGAAACAGACTGCTTTAGAAGCCCACTTCATAAACCCACTCACAGTCCTTACATAACATCTCTTACAAGTATGAAAGAGAAGAAAAAAAGTAGATGTGCTGAGACTTGGAACCACTATGATTAGATGCTGGCATTTGGTGCTTTTGTGACATTGCTTATTCTCTAGTTAATTGGAAATCTTACCACAAATAGTAGAATTTCCTCTGACATCATTATCATTTGCATCATTTTGGGTGAGGGCAGCTATGGAAATGAGGGCGCAAAACCCTTTTCTTTAGTTTGGAGTTGTCCTTCAGCGAGTTACTAGCAGAGACAACCACTGCAAACCCACTCATAAGACATGCACTGGCACACACACAAACACACAAAAATCAGATGAAGAGACATAAAAGCCATTACAGTGCACTGAATATCTTAGGTATTACTGTTCTTTCTGTTATGGTCCCTAGCTTACAGTGGAGAATATGAGCATGGATGTGTGCTAACAGAAGCACAGTTTCTGCATTCTCAGTTACAAAGTGTGTGAGGTGAAAGAAGAGGCAAAAATGACTCAGAAAGCAGTGCATGCGTACGTGTGTGTGTGCGGTGGGGTATATGTGGGTGTGATGGTGTCTGTGGTGTGCTTTGAGTTGAAGGTATTGGGAAACTTTTTATTTGCTTCTGTTTGCTAACTGTTTATTTGCTTGTGGCTTTATGCTTATTGCTGCCATAGTGATGGCGAAAGCCAGGCCTCTGATCAGCTGATGGATGATTTAATGATATATACTCAGTGGAAGAGTTCAGAAGAAACACTAACATGCATTTCATTGACTTCAGTTTCTCCCTTTGCTCACACTTATAGCCAGATACACCCTACTATTACGTACAACATCAGTGTCATTAATTTGCATATGTGTTTTTGTAACACTGCTGTGGCATTACTGATTTTTATCTGAACTTAAAATGACAGTTTCTGTGGCTACTTAAGCCAGTTAAAGTATTAATAATAAATTATGTCTGTAGCAGAAGAGACAACTGTATCCAACTTATGCCCCTGTATATATATTCTCTGGAATTTCATCCATAAATCCATCAAAGTATTTATTAATAATTTTACCTGCTTATTGACTCCAATGAGTAACTGCAAATGTTTCAAAACAAATCCCTACATCAAGATGGTATTATATTTAACACAGCTGTGATGATTTAAAGCACATGAATTTTACCTTAACAAGACATATGTTGGCTCATCTTCAGTTAACCCACACTTGTTTGCTTCTCTTGTGTATGTGCCTATTCATCTGAATATTCAGAAGTATTTCATTGAAAGTGAAAAACACAAAATGCCTATTTCTAACAATTTTAGCAGCAGGAGCTAAAATGATAATCTGTAACTCCAAAGGTGGCTGAAGCACAACAGCCCAGCAAGCCATTCACTAAGCATTCTGTACTTCTATCCAAAGGACAGGAACAAAGAGGACACTTTGCAGTATTATATTTGCTACTCTTCATAACAGACATTATGTTCACATCTACTCTTCTGACCAAGTTAAGCTACCCTCATGCTTTTACATCATCACCACACAGTTGCCTGATGCAGGGGCTGACTATGAAGCAGCTGAAGCCATGGCTGGATATCCTAGCTGGGTTTCTGAAGGCCTCCCAGCTGCCTACAACAAGAACTTACTGTGGGACACCAGAGAATGGCTGCCCTTCTGCCCTGGCAGTTCCTTGCATGATCAATGTGCATGACTGAAAGTGACTTCACAAAACCAAACACAGTGAGTGTGATTGTTTGATGAGGCAAAGCCATTTAAGTTGCTCCTTTGATGAAGTCAGTCAGAATTTTAAACTTATTTTCTACCAAGGACTGGATTATCAATTTGTTTTACAAAGACCTAATAAAAATATTACAGTTCCTCTTATTTGAAGACTTTGATCATGGAATCAACCAAAGCAAGCAACTAATATCACATAGGATATTCCAGATCCAACTGCTAGCTTAGAAGGGAAAAAACAACCTCCTGCCTTAAAAGCCCATTAGTTAGCCCTCTAATACAATGTGTTGGATAAGAACATGTAGCACCACACCCAGAAACAAAATCCAACGAGAAGTGCCTAGAATGCTCCCAGAACCACAGCTCTGACTCTTCTAACGTCACGTATACACGTAATGCAACTCTGTCCACGTGCCTCACTGACGTTAGGTCAAACCTGAGCTGAGATAGCACTTTTTAATCCTCCCACTCCAGTCACTGTAACAGTTGTTTTGCCACAGGAATGCACCTACTTGTGATAAACTAACCCAGACAAAATGTGGCATCAATCAAAAACATGAATTTGCTTACAGTAAAGGGTATGCGAGCAAGAAAGATTCACTTACCAGGCAAGACTAGATGATCTTGGAGGTCTTTTTTCCAACTTGGTGATTCTACGATTCTAGGAGACATAAATAGTAGCAGACAATAAAGAAGAGGTAGACTGTATGGAAGTTATTATGCCAAGAGAGAAATACAAATGTTTTAAGATAAGCAATGTAGAAATAAGCACAATTTGTTAATCTCTTCTTTGCTTAAACTATTATCAGAAAATAGAACATAGGTGTTTAGAAACAAAACTTGGAGCGTTTGAGAGCTGTAATAACATTTGCCACTGCCACAAAAAGCAGTAGTGAAAATAAAGTGATAAGAAGTTATTTTATCTTGATAAGCACGCTTAGGAAAAGGAGCTAGTTACAAGGAATGACTTCTGGATGGCAAAAAAGAAAGAAACCAAGCACAGTTCATTTAATCATAGTACATTCATGTCAAGCACATGGTTGAGTAATGGCTAAAAGACCTTATCAGCATTGCTAGAAACCACTAATGGCTAGCTGGCCAAATGCAAAACATGTTAGCCGTAAGTGAGGCAAAGTTTATTGGGAAAATTATTATTTTGGTTGGACCAAGCACTGTTTGGCTAGAAAAACTAGTCCAATGTAATTATTAATCAACTAGATAATTTTAGAGACCTGCATTTACATTTGAGAAGATCTGTAAAGTACACTTATTTTTCTGACTGGAAAAGTAAAGGAATTCCATGCTGTTGAAATTGATTGCTGTCCTGGAAATACTGTCCTTCATTAAATTCTCCCTATTTTCCTTCAAGGAATTCTCAAATATGCTGCTGGACAAATACTTAGAAGTGAAATGGAGGTCGACAGTAATAGAAATGAGCCTTCTCAGTTTATTTCAGAGATCTGCCAGTAGTCTGACAATATCACTTCCTTAGTGAGAATGGTCCAGACAAAAGTAAACAAATCTAAGTAGAAATATACCTTTTAAAACATAATTATTGCTTTTGAAGTAATCGTGAAGTAATTTTCACCTATTATCAAAGGTATACATGAATGTCAGTAAAGGATAAACCTTTCAAATTGAGTTACAAGCAGAACAGAAAATTTGAAGATTGTTTTCTTATCTCTGCAGTCTATTTTCATTATGTACCAAACAGTTAAGAGAGGACTGTTGTTCAGTGGTGCAATTAGCGTTTATATAGTCAACAGCTGTTAGAAAGTAAAACATTTAGAAAACCTAGTCAGGAAAATAGATGCGGCCTGCAGCTAGAATTTCCAAACTGCAGTTGTTTAGAGGAGTTCTCAGTCAGGTCTACTTACAATTTGCTTTCTGAAGGACTTGTTAAACAAAGACTATATTGGTTGCTTCCAATTGCTTTTTTTTTTTTTTTTTTTCCCCTTTCAATTATAGAGGCATTTTCATCTGGACAATGCAGCGTCAGAGCTAGAAAATGCTTTTTTCAAGCTAAGAGCAGAGATTGGTTAACGCTTTACTAAAAAGCACATCTGCTGGGTGTTACTGTTCAAAGACAAAAACTTAGAATATGCTTGATAGACGTGACTTGGACTATTCAAAGACACCTGATACAACAACTTAATTTTCTAAGCAGAAGGAATCTTAATGAGGAAGTCTAGGAGTTGAGTCGGAAGGGACCTTTAAAGGTCATCTAGTCTAACTCCCTTGCAACAAACAGGGACATGTACAGCTATGTCAGGTTGCTCAGAGCCCCATCCGGTCTGACCTTGAATATCTCTATGGACCACTCCTCCACCACACCTTGGGGCAACCTGTTTCAGTGCTTCACTGACCCTATCACAAGAAATGTTTCTTTCTTATATCCAATCTAAATCTCTTAGTCTGAAATAACTTCTGCCTATCCTATTTCAAAAGCAAAAAACTCTGCTAAAGAGTCTGTCCCCTTCGTTCTTACAGCCCCCCCTTCAGATATTGAAAGGGAGCAACTTTTCAAATCTACCTGGAGGAGCCCCGGCTCTTTCAGCCTGCCCTTGTAGGAGAGATGTCACATCACTTGTATCATTTCAGTGGCCCTCCTCTGGACGTACTCCAACAGGTCTGTGTCTTTCCTGTACTGAGGACTCCATATCTGGACACAGTTTTCCAGGTGAAGTCTCACCAGCACAGAGCAGAGGGGCAGGATCACCTCCCTTGATCTGATGCCATGAGAAGCATACTGTAGAAAATATAATTCCTGTATTTTTCCCAAGATATATAGCACTGAAACAACTGAAAGTGAAGCTTGATACACCTGAAGAAGATTAGAGTAGATATTGATTCAATTTTACTTGAATGGAGTCTCTAACATACAGCTAGGACTTCATATCTGGCATTTTCATAGAGATTGTCTTTTAAGATCCACATTTGCCTGATTTGTACCAAGTGCACAATAATAAAGCTAGAGGGGAAAATACTATAACATGGAAAATATCTTCTCAATTAAGCATTCGCAAGATTAAGCAATAGCAGTTCAAAAGAATTCAAGTATAAAGAGACTTCCCATACTGCCAAACATCACGTTTCATGGTCAGCTACCTGTCGAATACCTCCTCGTTAAAAAGCTCACTCTTGCTCTCATGCTCCTTTGCAGAAATCTTGAGAGAAGAAATAATTCTGCTGCTACAAACCTTAGTGTGTTGAATGTAACTTCCTCAGGCCTTGCTGCTTGCAGTGGTAATGGAGTCTGCTTTGGGCACAGCCAGAATAAGCATGCTTTTAGCTTGCTGTAAGCTTCCCTTTATAGAGCTCAGCAACCAGCTGGTTTCTATTAGCTCAGCAGGTGGCACCTGAGGGGAGAGAAAATAATCAGTTTAACACCACCACCAACCTGGTGGTACAGGCTGGGAAGTGACTTGTGCCTCTGGCTACTTCTGCTGGTAAACTGGGCTGTCCAAGGGCTTGAGAGAATATGCACAATCACCACCTTTCTCCACCTGCCCACTTTACACTGGCTGCACCTCAGGTCAACAGGTCACTGGCAAAGTCATGCCAGACTAGCTTGGCAATGCCTCATGTATATTAAAATATTCTTGTAAAGAGCAACATCTATTGTGGTGCGTGCTGCTAAGACAAATGTCCAACCCTACTTGCCAGACCATGCAAATATCACAGGGAGAAAAAAGGCTCCTGGATCACCCTAAGCCTCTAGTGTTCTCAGCACCTTGGAAAAATCATCAAATTAGAAAAGTGATAGGGGTTTGGTACCTCCTGTGCAGGACCAAAGTGGCCTTTAACAAGGAAAAATCTGCAGTAGATTGTGTTTGGAAAGCGTGGTTTAAAAGAAAATGTAAAAAGGCCTATAAAATTCAAAAGCAAAACCATGAATAAATCACTTACCAAACACCAGTGGAATGTGAACTTGCAAGAGGCTATCTGAGTGGAGGTGGAAGAAAGCATTGCTTTGAACATTTTTGTTCAGTGGGATGCTGCAAAAATGGCCAATAAGATCAATTTTTGGTATCTGTCTTCTCACCCTTTAGAGGAAGCAATGTTCACTGCCTGATGTGATGTTTCAAACGGAAATGAAAATGCATACCTGACTGTGTGTGCGAAGATACTGTACAAGTTTGGAGAAAAGAGACAACGTTGAGCATAGAGGGAAAAAAAATATCTTATTGGAGCTGTAAGAGCTCTGGATATGCGTATTAAAAAGGGAAGGAATGAACCATAAAATCACAGAATCACCAAGTTGGAGACCTCCAAGGTCATGCAGTCCAACTATCCACCTACCACCACTGTTTCCCATTAACCACATCCCTCATTACAACATCTAAATGTTTCTTGAACACCTCCTGGGACAGTGACTCCGCCACCTTCCTGGGCAGCCCATTCCAGTGCCTGACTGAACAAACATGGTCTAAATCTGAAAACCAAACTGTAACCTCAGAGATAGACTCTCCATTCTAAGGTCAGAACAGGAAAATAGCTAAAAAAATGAGCCAAAGACCTGAAAAAAAAACAATCACACCAATACAAAATATCTGAGGCTATGTCAAGCCCTGGCAAGTAGATGAAGATATGAAAACAGTAAAGACCGATGAAGGAGAGGAAGAGGAAAGATCCTTGTGTCAGGAGAACACAAGGATCAGATAAAGCGCGTGCCCAGGGGAGAGCAATTCAACATGCACGAGGACTTCAAGTGGTCCGAGCAATCCTTAAGATGAAAACATGCATAATGGCTTTAGGTTATCCTTCTCTCTCTCCAGAATTTGGTAAATACAAATGGCAATACAAGCCAGCCTTGGGCAGCAGCTACAGAGCCAAGGCATCTGTTGGTGTCCTGCAGCTGTGGCTGGGACCTGTCTGCTGAGCATGCTCAGAGGGCACATGGAGACCATGTGGGTACTGGCGTAGAATCCCTGTCAATTTCATTTTGAATTTTGAAGTTCTATTCAAACAATCAGTAGTGACATTGTGGCATTGTTCAGTGTTAATTACACTTCGTCACATTTCTCTCTATGCTGATCTGATCTGCCTCTGGCCTTGGTTTCAGATAGCTGAATGCACCTACACATTCCATTATTCCCACCCATTTGTTCTCAAACACGAGATGATGGCAGTGTTTTCTGCTTCAGAACAAAGCCAGCTACCTACCCCATTTTTTCTTTTCTTGTTTTTTTGTTTTTTCTTTACTATAAAAAGAAGTGCTAATAAGAGTTTTAATTGGGTGATATCATGACAAGATAGGTGTCCAGGAGAGGACAAGAGGCCAGACAAACAAGTCAGGTTTCAGCATCCCTTTAATAAGGCAGCAAATGCAGTGCTGCATGTCTACTCAACTGGCGCAGCAAGCCAAACCTAGGAACGCCTTCAGGACTACTTTTGCATTCCCCTGCTTTTACTAAGGAAGACGTAACTCCTTTTTTTTATTCTTACCTTCAGGAAGAGACTTAGAAGACGTTTGACTTCCATTGGTGAGTTCCTGTAGGTTCATGAGGTTTGTAACAGTCAGCTCTGAGATGGGAGGAATCATGGGGTATAGCTGTTGCAGATAAAACACTTTCCTACTGCTCACGGTGAACATTTGGCACATTTATTTGTAAGGGAGATACTTTTCTGTGCTGGCCAGTTAACCTTCTTCCTACATCTTACCCACCTGTACACCCTGTCTCTTGGACATTTTCTTTAGCAAAGGGATGCTCCTGCATCTGGGTCAGAGGCCAAGTGCCAAAGTTTTGTAAGTGAGAGGATGTTCCTGGTACACACCAGTCCTCTCTGAAGAATGGAGACCATCGGCACTGGCAAAAATTTACCTTGTAACAAATTAGAATTTCTCTTCTGCTTTTGTAGAAAGCCAAAAGAAATAAAAGTACAGATGTTACTGAACCCTGACTTTGCCCTTTATCTGAACCTGTGATTCATGACGAGGTGCTTGATCAGACCATGGCAGCTATGGGACAGAGCATTTGCACTGCAGTTGTTCAAAATGACTTCCTCATCTGTAATGGTTGGTTCATTATGGTGTTAATGTTGGTTGCGCACCTATACAGCATGAACCATAGCTTTTGTGACAGATGTGCTGATAAACAAATGCAGGGAATTATTTACCTGCTGAGAAACGCAACCTGGCTATGATTCTCAGTGTGTTTGGGTTCATGTCAGAGCTTCTGAAAGGTTCAGCCATTTTTTGGGTCATTCCATAATTCCTTCAGCAAATAGCTGGGGTGGCTATCGGGGGCTGCCTGAAAATCATGTGGAACTTTATTAAGGGTGCAGACAGATCACTACATCCCAATCTGCCTATGAGCAAACTAAACAGGACATAAAAAACCACTGGACGTGACACAAGCAATTGCCAAGTATGATAGATACCAGTGTGCAACAACAACAAAAACACAGGTATCGTGCCGTGAGGAATGCTGGATTCCACAGATGGCTATAAAGTGAGTTACGTGAGGGATAACCAGACTTCAAAGACAATTGGAAGGGGGTGTTATGGACCTTTTTGGGAGTGGAATCATGTAAGGCCTGTTGCGCCTGTGTAACCATATCAGCTATGTCACATCAAGTCAAGATTACCTACGTTTCGTTATTAAATACAGAATTTGGGTATGGGTGTAACCAAACTTGAATTGAGGGGGTAAAGTAATTTGGGACAACTTGTTTATTTGGGAGGAGGCTGGGGTTGAGAAAGGGAGGACCAGGACATGGGAAAAGAGGTAACAGATGTAAATGATACAATCCCAGCTGTTTATCCCTTTATCCCTTACAGCCTGGAGCAGGACAATGAGCCAAACCTGTTGTTCTGACGATACCACACATTTCCACAACCAAGAGGCCTGGGGTGCATTCCCTGGCCAGCAAGAGAACGCCCATGATGGACAAATCAAACACCTCAGCATCATTGTGTTTGTATCTGTTCCAAGCCTGACAGCATCAGCATCTCCATATCAGGCTATCGTCATCCTACCAGCATTCATGATTCAAGTGTTAGTTACCTACTTCATAACAGGTGATTGCCCTGCTTCAAAATGCTACGTGTATTTTCCTGACTCACCTTGGAATGTTTCTTGGTTTTCAGCCAAGGCATAATGGGGAGAGCAATCAGCCTTTAGAGAGGGCCACTGGGATGCAAGTATTCCTCTGTGGATTCTAGATATAGATAGAAGTGCACTGAGAAGCTCAGATAGTTTTTATTTCTTTCTCTTTAGATCAGTATTAGCAACGCAAGATGACCTAAACTACAGCAAACCCTGAGATAAAGAGCTTGCCAGACTACAAGAGGAAAAGCAATACACATTGATTACTGAACCCTGGATCATGCCCACCCCTCAAAGCACTCCATGTTTGGAAAGTTGATGCTCATTGCCTCATATTCCAAATAAGCATTAGATGGCAGGGCAGGACTGTTCTCCCTCACATATATTGTTTGTAAATGAGAGCCCAGGATTGTGGTTCAGTGGGAGATCCCTCACATAGGGGTTTCTTCCTGTACTCTTCATGATGCCCATGTGCCTTAACAAACCCAAGAGAACTTGCTCCCAGAGCAGCTCTGGGCAGCTTCTCTGCTCATCTGAGGCACAGCAGGAGGTGAAGCCTGCACCACCTCTTCCCCACCTGTCCCTTGTCTCCCCTTGACCTCTATGATGTGCAATGGTGGCCACTTGGGTGTCGACTCTGTTCAGCATTATTTCATATCAAGATAGGAAATGGATGATGGTAGGAACTGGAATTCTGGAGATGCAAAGTAAATTCTCACCTTAGCCAGGCTTTCTTTGCTGGATCTTGGGTATGTTTTCAGATAAACTGCCTGAAAAAAGGAAGTAACATATCCCTGTCTTCCTGGAGCACTGATAATGTAGAAATAGCATAATACTGAGAGCCCTATTTACACCTTTAAGAGCAATGTAGGACAGACCAATCTCTTCTATATGTGTCAAATTGAATATCACTCCTTGGATATAACACTGTTAGCAAAGCTTTCTGTAGTCCTCTGAATCAGATTTTCTACTTTGAAAGAATTCCTCTATATGGTGGCTTAAAGCTAGTTCTTTTTATCAGGCTTTTCTAGGCGTCCTGACAGGGCAATTAACAGCAGCATGCACAGCATTTGCATGGCTTCTGTTAAGAAAGGATCATCACAATGGCACATAGTCATCAAAGTGTTAACAGAATTAATTGAGCAGAATTCAATTAAGAATTAAGAGTCTCTGGGAGGTCGGGACTTCTCCTTCTGGCAAGCACAGGTGTTGTGAGCACCTGTGAGGTGCTCACAGGAGCAGTGAGGACTGCTCTTCTGACACAGAAACAGAAGCAGTGAAATGGAAAAGGCCACTGCT